AATCCCGTTTGCTTCTAGTGAAGAACTTTCTGTATGTGGAGTAGGACACCATTGAATCTACTCGACATGATCGTACTTTTGACGGACCTGCGTACCCGTCTCCTCCGAATCCAATCATCAAGTATTGCACTACGCATGGTTTCATAGAGGTTATGTGCTCGAAGGTAGCGTCTTGATCTGAAAGATGGCAGCCGGCAATTCATTCGTCTCAGCTTGAACTGTGGCATTGATCCCCAAGGCTGCGAGGGCTCCGCGGACGATTCCGCAGGGGAACCATAGGAACTGTTGGTACAGCAAAGTTAGCTTGACTACCACAAACTCCACAACGCCATGTCCGACTTACCGGTTGTGCCCGTACGACGGCCTGACCCCCGGTCTCGGTGCTCATTCTTGAAAACGGCTTGAACGAGTTGTCCGTTAACACGTAGACGCCCTACACAGAGAGCCTCTAGTTAGCAAACCGGCCGTGAACTGTCTCCAGAGATGGACGAGACCACCCACCCTGTGGTTAGTCTTTAGATTGTCGACTTGTTTCCGGAACACCAGCGACCACAGATCCTTGCAAACGAACTTGATGACGTCTAGCGTATCGTTGAAGTGTGGCCTGTCTCTCGAAAACCTATCCCAGTGCCCGACCCGTTAGTCTCTAATTGACACTGACCAACAACATCGGGGAGGGGAGGGCGGAGAAGACATACCTCTCTACAAGTCCCTGGCCAACACGATATCCCAACGTCTCGAGACGGTAGAACACGGCGTCCCTCTCCTCATCTTCGTCCATCTTCCGCGCGCTGCCTGCGGTGACGGCCCCGCTTGCGCTTGACAGCGCCGCGCCTGCTGCGGCATGGCTGTGACTCCCGGAGGACACCCCGTCTCCGCCGGCCGATGAGCCCTCTGCTGGAGCTATGTCGAGCTCCCTCGTTACGCGGAACGCCATCGGCACGAGCTCGATGAGGAGAAAGTCGAGGCAGGAAGAGTTGAGGAAGGAAGCCGTCGGATCCGAGGCGTTGTACGGGGGCATTACGCTTTCGAACGACATGATCGCGACTGTGGTCTGGCGATGTTCTCGTGCTGCTGTCTTCTTTCCGACTGGTGTGGCCGCTGTTTCGTTCCGTGTAGGGTCGGTTGAGACCGATTGCGACGTAGGGCGAGCGCATCCAACGAAATGGAAGGAAGAATCTCGGCGTTTTTTGGCGTTTCTGTCCCGATTGGCCTTACTGTTTCGTAGTCTGGGTACTGTAGCTGCCGGTGCCGGCCGTTTATCGGTCTTGAGCTTGAGGGGAATATGATGGTAAATGTGAGAGGTAGGTAGGTATGTAGCTGAAGGTGAGGACAGACGGGCGACGGCACCTTACCATCGGGAAAGGCAGTCGAAGGTACGTACTTCTGACAAGGGCGGAGTGGAGCTTCAGTCCATCCCTTCTTCCACCATCATGCACACGGTCCAACCAACTCCTGGATAAAGAGTCAAATTGTTACCGCCGTGAGACACAGAAACCAACTTCAGGAAGATTCTAGTTTGATAAAATTCGCAAACACCGACGGAGATACTCCGGCCGAGAAAGCTCGCCCTAGGTGACCGCGAAGCGCTTGCTGGACCATGTGCATTCGCAGGCAATCATTCATTTCTTTCGTGCTGTTTAGACTAGACTTTGATGGATGGGATGTGTTTTTCCTCCTGAACGCCTGTGCAGCTATCCTTCCGTTCCTTCCCACGCCAAACTGTAAAATACACACACATGAGGACGCATTAGGATATATGTACGTGCCTTGACCCAACAACCCAAGGCTCCACTTCAAAAGATTGAGTGTAAGAGACAAGGAGCGGAGGAACATGCCTCAGAACAGCTGGCCATTGTAGCTGTTGCTGTAATTGTTCGCCGTCGGTGGTTGAAGCTGCTGCCGCTTTGGGGGTGGTTGGAGGGGTTCGTCATCATCAGAGAGCGTGAGATCTATTGTCACCCTATCGGAGTGAGGCCTCTTCGCACTCGTGGAGCCGAGACCCCGAGGCATCGTTGAGCTTTCGCGCGACATGATGGTTGTGGTCGGTGTCGCCGTACTAGCAACTGATCGAACGGGCGTCTCGAGGTTGCGACCACGAATGACGCTGACTTCCGAGATGATGAAGTCGTCATCGTCATCGTCATCAACGGAGCCGTTCCCACCGTTGGCAGACTGATCGTCTTGCGACGAATTGACCCGCCATTGTCCATCAGGCTCGATCGTGACTTGATCCAATGACTTGGACGTATTGGCCAAAATCTCCTTGACGTATCTATGTGAATATTAGTCGATAGCTCGCCAGCTCACACAAAAGACACCTACTCGTCGACCGCAAGTTGATCGAACGGTGCGGACTTGTTGCAGATAGGACACAGCCATTGAGGGCCTTGCTCCTGCAACTGAAGGTATGAAGTTGCATCGAAGCACTGGATATGCGAGCAGAATGTAGAGCGACAGGGAACGTCGAGTCGCATGTAAGATAGTGGGCATTTCAGAGACAATACTTGCGATGTTGTGACGATGTCCGTATCTGCTGCCTTCTTGCTGACTGAAACATGATTAGTGAGCTGTTGTCAGATGCGAATCTCGTTCAGAGTACCTACTTTCCTGGATGACCGACTGCTTAGGAATCTTCTTCCCAGTTTTGATCCGCTCAGCGAGCTCTTGAGCCGCCGTGATCTTGCAAACGTAAAGGACGAGGAAAAATTTCTGTTCAAGCCCGTGAGTACGGGGTATGATGACCGGGGCGCATTCATGTTTCCTACACTCACCTTCTGTGTCAAGGCGTAGGTGAACTCGACGAGATTCCGGTTGTCATTTTTCAGACGTAGATAGCTCGTGACGTCCACCGGTCGCGTTGACCCCGGCTTGTTCTTCAAGCCTCTCAAGTTGGCCTTGACCTCGTTTCCGTTGACCTTGATCTCCGACTGATGAGGAAAGGTAATGTTCTGGAGCTCACTGTTGCTATTGCTGTCGGCGCAAAACACCATCACACGGTATGACTTGTCCTCGAGAACTTTGTTCACTCCTGGGCAATCGCTCAACTTGACCGGGACGGAAACCATATTTCTGTGTTGGCTCATAGCTAGGGGAGTCAGCGGGAGGTAACAAGCGTTGGAATCAGACTCGGTATCTTACTCTCGCAGACCTTAACGTCGCCGACCCGGTGCTGGAGTGCATAGAAGGGAGTATCCTTGAATCTTGGGCCTAGGCGCAATTAGCTGTTGTCGGACACGGCATACGAGAACATCCTGCATACCGATTGTGGCCCCAAAGCTGTGCATCGAGTGGCCATTCAGCCCCGTGGGACGGCCATTACTGCGCTGGTTCCAGTATGGATCTGATCGCATCACGACGGGTTGTGCGGGCGCGGAAGGACGTGCGGATTTATGGGATGCAGGAGAAGAGGAAGCCCCGGTTCGCGTGGTCTCGATGCTCCGTTGAATTTGCTGAAAGCGTGTAGCATCGTTGTTGTTGAAGGCCTCTTGGATAGCTAAATGTAATCAAGTCAGCGAGAAGTTTCCTCGTGGGAGAAGCTGCTTGAGCAACCTTAGAAGAGCCGTGGACATGAATGACTTGGGAGCCTGGCAGCGGCAAGGAGAATGGCGCAAGACGCAGGGTGTTGATGGCGGAGGCATATCGGGAGGGGGATGGATGCGACTGACCATTAACGATGCGACTCTGCAGCGACGCCTTAACCCCGCTGCTAGTGAGACCGTTGAGCTGGCAGATGCTGGAAAGTTGACGATTAAGCAACTGGTTGCTGTTGACCAGCTTGACCAGAGCCTGGAGCTCATGCCTCTGGATGGAGGTCATGGTTCGTGGGCGAAGGAAGAGTATCGCAGAGGCGCCTTCGGTGACAGCCTCATGAAGGTTTGCGGATGCGACGTCGGAGAGACTGGATTCGGGGCGGAGGAAGGCAGGGAAAGGTAGCCGAGTTGTTGGAGAAGACAAAACAAGAAAGAAATAAAAGCAGCTCTTGGTTCAAGTGGAAAGGACCATGGACGCAACCACACGAGGAAAGAGCGACGAGGCTCGGGGTTGCGTGGTGGTGGTCGTGCTGCGTGGTGCGCCGACACCGACAGCGAGACGGAAGGACCTAGAGTGCGGTGCGCGTGCGTGGGGACGTCGTCCACGTCTGCAACGCCGCACCGTGGAGGCAAGGGCTGCTACGTGCGACGGGAGTGGTGCAACTGAGGGCGGGCAGCAGATAGGGTCCCTCCCGAGAGACGTGTCGACGCAGAATGCGGCTCTTTTCTTCTCGCTCGTGTCGATACCTTGAGGTAATCCGTCCGCCTACCTAAGGGGCCTTGGCCTCTGGACTTGGCGACGCACAATGCCCAAGAGGGTTTTTGTTTTTGCTTGACGCGAGGAAGCAAGGAAGCGAGACCAGAAGACCCAGTCTGGTAGGTAATGACGGATGGTGCTTGACGGGAAGTGAAGGAAAAGTCGTGGCCAGGAAGGTACATAAGGCAAAGTACGGTCCCTACCTAGGCTATGAAGAGCCGCAGATGGAGTAAGACGGGGAGGGCGAGTTGAAGTGAGGTGAGGTCAGTAAGGTTGGCGGCCAGTGGGTGTTTTCTCGGGTCGGCAGCCTGGCAGTCGAGTTTGATGTCATTCGCGACCAGCGACGGTACCTTAACCACCGGTGATATCTACAGGCGAGCGGCGGCCGCTGTTTCAGTGCCTTGTGCGGCGTGCCTCCCCTAACGGAAGACTGTTCCAGCAGCCCAGCGCCTGAAGCAAGTACCTATCTTAGGTTCCCTGGGTCACCCCGCCTGTGACAGAAGGTCCCTTAGTACCTTAAAGTGGGGTGGCTGTAGTCGGCAGGCCCCGCGAATGGCTGCTCATCCAGGGATTGTGATTGCTGGTTGCCTGCATCGTAGAACGGCAGGCGGGGCGTCCGTTGCTTTGTGCAAAATTTCCCACGCAGGTCAGCACCAAACATCACCACCTCACCGCATCAGAAAATCTCCCTTCAAGGACACGTCGCAACCATGGCCAAGAGCTCGAGATCTAGTGTCAAGAAGAACAACAACCAAAGACTCAAGAAGGATGTCTTTGGCCCTGCTGAGGCGGCGAGAGCAGAGCGCCTCTCAGCCAAGCTGCTGGAATTAGCGAAACAGCCCAAGCCCCAAAAGGAGGCAGATATGAACATGGACACCGACGAACAAGACGATGGTGAGTATCTCGGTCAATTGGAATCAAGCAGACACTGAAAAAACCCCAGCCCAGATCAACCCCGATGAGGAGCAAGAAGCCAAGAAGACTGAGGACACCCGTAAGCCGCCTCACTCTCCTCAAGCATCTACTAAGGAAAACTTATCCTGACTCAATTCCCAGGCATGGACGTGGACTCTGCAAAGCCCCGTCGCAGATCCGGTAGAATTCAGAAGAAGAAGTCGTCCAAGATTGTCTTTCCCAAGTACAAGGACCGTCGCGGAGGCTCCAAGAAGAAGGCCTGATCGTGACGCGACACTAGGTTGCCATTTCTCCTGGCATAGCAGGATTTGTTCCCAGGCTGTCTGCCGCCGAAAAGAGAGGAAGTGACAGCCGGCGCAGGGTCTCTCAACATCGATTTGTTGTTGTTTTTTCCCCATTTCTCGGAGTTGGTGGGCAGGGATTCAATTTTCATTTTTTAGTTTTCCTTCTCTCACGGATGGTTGGTGGTATTCGGCCTAATGGTTTTTCACCCGTCGGTCGAGATTTGGGCACTTAAAAGTTATCATATTGTATTTGCAACATTGAATGGGACATGAGGCCTTCAGCGATGTGAGACTCAACTCGAGTCACTCTGCTGCAATATCTCGAGACATCCCTCAAGACAATTGGAATGAACTGAGTGAACGATGCGCCTCTTCACTGCATCGGCCGGGGCCGCCTAATTGTTGTAACGGGACTTTCGGACTTTGACCAGCGTATTCAGCCAATCATCAAGCGCAATTTCCCTTACTCGGCTGAGCGTCTCATCCCTGTGCTAGAGCTGTCACAGTGTCCTCAGCTGCCAGCCCAACAATTGCATAGCTATTACCTACCTTAACCTGTCTGCTGGATACCAGCTTTACCCATTTAGGATCTCGACGATCCCGAACAACCTTGGAGGACAACGACCGCGCCGCTTCGCTAACACCCGATCTGTCTTTCACCTTTCGTGCCTCGAACTCATCCTCCTACTGTGCACCATGGTTCAATGACCAGACGCCAGACTAGAAAGCTATGAAACCGTCTCCTTCGAAGCCTTCACAGCAAAGACCACCTAATCGGCAACCTTCTCTCCCCTTCACCCTTCTGGCCTGAACGAACGAATCTATTGGCTACCTTGATGGATACGCGACGACCATGTCCTTTCGCTATGGCCCGCGTTTTCTGACCACCCAACTCACTATCGCCAATGTCTTGATTCCCGTGGCGATTCTCATATTCGCGACCGGTTTCTTTCCATACAAGCCCGTGCTTCCAGGTCTGGCTCGTTATGAGACCCTGGAGTATGGCCCGCCACCAAAGGCGCCCTTTGATCGACTCGTTTTCATGCTCGTCGATGCATTGCGAAGGTAGTAGATCGGTGGGCCTGGTAATCTTTGGATTGGGCTAACGGTCGAGAAGCGATTTTGTTTATGCGGATGGTACTGGATTCACATATACCCAAGAGTATGTACACCCCTCATGAATTTCGTCGCCTCACATGGCTATGGCTGACTAGGGGTCAGGTTGATTCGCAATGGTGCTGCTCTTCCCTTTACTGCCAATGCCAGGTCACCGACCATCACTATGCCCAGGATCAAAGCAATCACCACCGGCTCCATCCCGTCTTTCTTGGATGTCATCTTGAACTTTGATGAGGCAGACACGTCTTCAACTCTCGCCGCCCAGGACACGTGGCTGGCGCAAATGAAGGCCAAGCAGTCGGGAAAGCTGGTCATGTATGGAGACGACACATGGCTCAAGCTGTTCCCAGAGACCTTTGACCGCGCCGACGGCACCTCGAGCTTTTTCGTTTCGGTAGGCGCTGCCACAAATACTGACGAGATGTGGATCTAACACCACCATCTAGGACTTTACGGAGGTCGACAATAATGTCACAAGACACATCGACACCGAGCTGGAGAAGGATGATTGGAACACACTGGTGTTGCATTATCTTGGTCTCGACCATATTGGTCACAAATCGGGACCTCGAAGGTGAGACATCGCCGCCGGCCCGGTCTCTTGCCCACTAACAAGGATCTAGCCCACACATGGTCCCCAAACAACAGGAGATGGACGACATTGTCAAGCATCTCTTCCAGGCCATGGAGACATATGATCACATGTCTTCAACTTTATTGGTACTGTGTGGAGATCACGGCATGAACGACGCGGGAAACCACGGCGCCTCATCCCCTGGAGAGACATCTCCTGCCCTTGTCTTCATCTCACCGAAGCTCAGGACACTACAGCGCAGCCTGAACTCGCCTGTAAAGTTCCAGGAGGACTTCTCGTACTACACCAAGGTCGAGCAATCCGATCTCGCGCCGACTCTGGCGGCCTTGCTAGGGTTTCCCGTGCCGCAGAACAACTTGGGCGCCTTCATTGCCGATTTCCTCCCATTCTGGTCGAATAGTAAGCGTGGATACCCCAAAACAGACAGCCAGTCATCCGACGAATGCTTATGAGACATAGAAAACGATCAAATCCAGTTGCTTGTTCGCAATGCTCGGCAAATCCTGAACATTGTTACGGCGACGTTTGGCACGAGCATGTTCGATACTGAGTCGTCGTCAACACAAAAGGCATGCGCGGATCCCCAGGATGACGCGCAAGAACTGGCGTGCGAATGGCATAGAGTCAATGACGGGCTCAAGGCCATGGGAGGCAGTGAGCAGCTGGATCAAGCCTGGCTCAGGGCCATGTCCAAGGTGGGTTGCGGACCCTCATGCCGCCGGTCTCATTTCTAACTATCCACAGTGGTTGAGTAAAGCTCAGGATCTGATGAGCACCATGGCTAGCAATTACGACATGGGCAGGCTGCACCTAGGCGAGGCCCTGATGGCCCTGATCACTTGCTCCCTGCTATTTGCTGTCACGACAAGTCTCATTCCCCTGGTAGTCGTCTCCATTTCCTATGGCATTATGATGTTTACCAGCAGCTACGTTGAAGAGGAGCAACATTTCTGGTATTGGTTCACGTCGGCCTGGTTTGGCTCACTGGCCATCAAGAACATGCAGACGTAAGTGTTATTCATCCGTCTTCTTTCCAATTCTGACTTGCCAGAAGCACCCACAAGCCTCTGCAGACCATCGGTCTATTTCTACTCGCCTTAGCAGCCACCAGACTGGTGCGTGGGTGGAATCAGACAGGACAAAAGCATGCTGGTGAACCCGACATTGTCAAGACCTTTGTCACAACAAATCCACCCCTACTCTGGACGCTCGTGGGCGCAACTTACCTCTTGAACTTTTCTCAGCTAACGAGAAGACTCCGTGGCATGCCGGCTGTCGCATCTGCCGCAGCCTCCGGCATGGTGGTGCTCTCGGCCTTCTCTTTCAAGCTAGCTTTCACGCATGAAGACTCGCCAGAGCTTGTGACCGGCATTCCGGCCGCCATGAACGTCGTTCTCCAAGGCCTGACTCTCGTGACCAGAGCTAGAATCGTTTTCGTTGGTATCGGTGCACTCGCAGGGTACGCTACTTACATTGCCCTCTCCAAACCAAGTGAGGCGGCTCAGACAGGTAAGCAATCGCATGCCTCACGCAAACCCCATCCAACCCTGACAAAAAAACAGCAAAACTTCTCCACCACCTCATCACCCTTTTGGTGGCAACCCAATCCCGCGTAACAAATATCCCTCTGCTTCTCCTCTTCAACGTTCAGCTAGCCTTCATCTCATCTCTCGGCCTCGATCTCCCCACGCTATCTACGTCCTCAATACTGCTGCAATTCACATCCTTCTTCGCTTTCGGTGGCACAAACGCAATCTCGTCCGTTGATCTGTCGAGCGCCTACAACGGCGTTGCGGGCTTCAACGTCGTCGCAGTGGGCATCCTGACGTTCGTCAGCAACTGGGCAGGGCCAGTATACTGGACCTCCGCCACAAACCTACTCCTCCTCCGATACCGCAAGCTTCACAACAGCCGTAACGTCTTCCTGCAGCATGTAGGCCACCTGACGCTGTTCACGGCGTGCAGCGTTCTCTTCGTCATGGTTGCTTGCGAGGTTCTCAGGACCCACTTATTCGTCTGGACCGTCTTCTCGCCCAAATATCTGTACAGCATGGCGTGGAGCATCGGGCAGCATTTGGCCATCAACGTAGCAGTTGCTGGCTTGTTGTACAAGCTAGGTGCGACGTACTGAATACGCAAGACAATTGGAATCGGTCGCGTGCGAGGTTGATCAAAAGAATCAAGAATCGTCGATTCCGCAAGGAGTCATCATTAGTAGTACATAGATCATCAGTCCTTGTATAATATCATTCCATGAAGCTCTTTCATCCCACATCCCAGGGGTAAGTCATTAACCAACGTCATCAAGTTTAAGCGCCTTCTTCGTCCGACAGGAGCTCGCTCACTAACGAGTTTTCTGCCGATCTTTGGATGACAGTGCCCTCATTGCTATCCTCGTCTTCTTCCTTAATCGGTGGCTCCATGGTGATGGTCTTGTCGCCGTCGCCATCATCGGCCTTAGATGCCGACGATGTCGCCACCGATGGTGCTACAGAAGAGACAACGGACACGCTCCTGCTTGCGCGACGAGGCTCTGCCTCCTGCTCGCCGAGGGTGGCGACAATCTTGCCCAAACTCACGTGGATCTTGTTCAGGGCGTTCCGGCCAGTCGTGTCCGTGATGAGTCTATCGTCCACAGCGATCGAGACCTCATCGTACACCTCTCTGATCTTCTCCTCCGTGCTGGTTGGGGAAATGTAGAGCTTGCCAAGGAGCGGTGCTACAATTTTCTTCTCTGCCTCTGAAGTGGGGGTCAGTATAATGCAGTTCCAACTTAGAGGGGGTTAGATCGAATAACGTACTGCTCATGTTTCCGTTCAGACGATCCAAAATGTCCAGGGCAAACTCCAAATGAATATCACCGTTGACTGTCTTCTTCTCCAGCTCGAGCCCCTGGGCCGGGTTGTAGCATTTGCGGGGGTCCGTCCAGTCCACCAAGCAGGCGCCGATGGTTGTCAGACTCTCCATGTCTTCATCCACGTCGGCGTCGTCGTCTTCCAAGCTCTCGCGGACATTCACCAGCATGTGCAAAGCATCCAAGGCCACAGAGCGCATGAGATCCTGGTTTTCTGCTCGAGAGTAACAGAAAACGGGCAGGAAGTAGTTGAGAGCTTGCCTGACACTCTGGTTGTGAGCGGTAGCGGGATCAAAGTATTGAACGACCAGGGTCTTGAGCATCTCTGCTGCGGCTTCGGTGTCAGTAACAACGCGTCCGAGCAACAGTTTGGATACGGCCAAGGTAGCGGCAGCCTGGACCTCAGGCGACTTGGTTCCAGACTTGAGAGCCTTGATGTACACCTTTAGCAGCGTGGGTGTCGAGCTAAGAAGCTGAGCTCCGTGAACGTTAAGAATGTCGGTGAGAATCTGCAGAGCAGTGATTTGGAGCGCGGTGTGGCCCTTGGTGAAGAAGTGCATGAAGAGCGTCAAGTTCTCCTCGGCGAGAGATCTGTCTAGCAGAGAGCAAAGACCCAAGCAGACTAGACCTCTCTCGCGCACAGGAGCCTCGTGACTTCGGACTGCAGGAACAACGAGATTATTCAACATGGAGACCAAGTGGTCGTTCTGTTGCAGGTTGCCAGCAACATTGGACAACATGCATTGCACAATGTGCAAACACTTCATGTTGATCATGATCTCCTTGACGGCCTTGGCACGGGCTTCCTCCTCGCTGAGCTCGGGACTTTTCCCACGGCTGCCGGTTCGCGTGGGCGTGGTATCGCCGCTAACCTCGGATCTTGCTGAGTGGAAGCTATCCTCGGTCTTGTCATCAGGAGGGTCGTCCACGATGGTATCGTGAACGTCGGCAACGGACTCCAAAACAACTGAACAGAACTCCTTTTCACCGGCTGTGTCAGGCGCGCAGATGTCTCTTAAAACACTGACAGTCAGCTTTGTGACTTCATCCGGGAGCTCCGGTACAGAAAGCGACTGGCGAAGAAGTGCAAACATCTTACGTCGGCCAACTTCATCCGAGTAGTCGAGCGTGATGGCGATGTGGAGAAGTTGTTCGACGATGAATTCCTGCTCGACCGTGTCTTCCTCCTCATCTTCTTCTCCCCCTATTTGCGAGGCCTTTTTGATGGCTTCAGTCAGAACGCTGATGTAGCGTTCAAGGTAGAAAGCAAGCTTAGTTACTTCAGGGAGCTTCTCCTCGACCAAAGACTCGAACTTGCCACTACCTTCGTTTCTGCAGAATTCATTGTAGCTTCTGGCCATGAAGACCGACTCGGCAGACAAAGTCTCCCAGAAATGGTCGTCGAATGTTACGGCCTCCCGGTAATCGGGTCGGCCCTCCCAGAAGCCCTTCATCGCCTCTAGGGCGACTCCGTTCTCCACGCCAGAGTTGACGACGTCGATTCGCTCAAGTAGCTCAAGTAAGCCATCAAAGTTGGGAGGCGACGGCTCAGGTTGGGCACCATCTTCAGGCGGTGCGACGCCGGCGCAGTCTTCGATCCAACGCTCGCGGAAGAGCCTGCCGGCCGACTTGCGAACATTTTCGTCTCTGTCACGAAGACCCCATCTGAGGAGCTTCTCTCTCATAGATAATGAAAGATGACGGAAATCGCCGAGGGCGGGTAGCAGGCGGGAATACACAGCTCGACGGGTGGCAGCATCCTGATCTCTAGCGCGCTCGAGCAAGTATGGAAGAGTGGCGGGTGCGATAGGAAGGTTGATGAGAAGCGATCTTCTGACGTCTGCGCTGGGGTCATTCTGCAGAACCTCCAGTAGCTTTTCGAGCAGTCCAGACGCCTCGTCCTCGCTGTCGTCGTCGGACTGCGCAGCTGCGTCGATGTTGCCAGCCAAACGGCCAAGACCAAGAACAGCCTGGGCGCGCACCATAGCTTCCTTGTCACGGATCCGCCTCAAAAGGCCGTGGCGGAGCTTTTGGAAGACGTCGTCGTCGATGGAGTCGAGGGAGTTGATGATGTGCGAGACCAGCTGGGTCGATCTGTATCTCACAAACTTGTCTTTTGCAGTGAGAAGTGGCAAGATCGTCTCCATGAGAAAGCTGAGGAGCCTGGTGCTGGGAGTGTCGTGCATGGTACTAGCATCCTCTTCAAGCTCGCCCAGCACCTCGTAGTCCTTGTCGTTCGCATGTCTGAGAAAATGCCCAATAAACCTGACAGTCTTCTCTCCAACGCTTTCCGACTTCTTGATAGGCATAACCCTGAGGACGCAGCGGACAAATTCGGAGTTGAAAGCCTCCTCATCGAAGTCGTTCGAGGTTGACTTGTTCAGACTGGTGGGCTCGTAGACGCAGGCCTCCTGGATCTTACGCAAGGTGACCACCAATTTGCGGTGAGACGCAGTGTTTTTCTGCGCATCCCTGAAGACGGCGCATATCTTGGGACGAAGCTCATTGTCGGGTCTTTCGGTCGGGACGTCGAGCGCGAGAGAGGAGGATCGCGACGCTGTTGATCCTCGGGAGCCGAGCGTCGCGGCTGATGATTTGTTGGAAACGGCGGCCGAATTCCGCGTGGATCTTGTAGAGACTCGCGCAGGCATCTTGGGTTGTCGGTTGTCGTCAGATGCCGGCGATTTCTTGGGGGAACATGGGACGCAAAAATAGCTGTAAGAGTTAATGAGGACGAAGAAAAAGTATGTGTTGTTGATTGATGGGCTACGACAGACGGCCCCCCGACCACGAGATGGCTGCCAACGCACCTTATGCACACAATTACAGTGGGCGACCCCCTGGCGCGTCTTTTTGTTTTTATCCAGTCTGCAACAAGTAAGTCAATAGACTCCCAAATCAGGTATAGCGCGGGGTCGCTCATCCCCGCCCGTCAGACACCACGTCAAACGTGCACGTGCTGATAAGCTGGACCCCGAAGAAGAAAAAAAATGCTTATCGCAAATCTAGAGCAGCTTCGATCACAGCCAGCCACCTGTGCAAGGTAGAGAGGCTCTCAGTTTTTCCTCGACCTCGCGGACATCCACCCGAAACACTTTCCTGCTTCCAACCGACACCCATTGCTGTCGGATTTCGCAAGATTCACAGCCATGTCGTCACCCGCTAAGCCGTTGAAGCGGACTCGCGCCGAGGAGGATGAGCACGATGCGCTCGTCGCTGCCGCTGTTGCAGAGAACCTTGCAGCAGATGCCGTTTCGGAACCGAAATCCAAGAAAGCACGCGTGGAAGCCAATCGCTCGCTCTTCGTTCGGTCTCTCCCTGCCAACGCCACCAGCGAATCTCTGACCGACTTCTTCTCAGAGCACTTCCCTGTCAAGCATGCGACCGTTGTCCTCGACCCGACCACCAAGGCATCTCGAGGTTATGGCTTCGTTACCCTAACAGATGCCGACGATGCCAATGATGCCAAGAAGAAGCTCAACAACTCTCTCTGGGAGGGCCGCCGTATCAGGATCGATCTGGCCGAAGCCAGACATCGCGACAACAAGGACAGCGTTGTCGGCGCAGCCGCCTCTAGTGAGAAGCAAAAGCGTGCGCAAGCGCTCGAGGAGGCTAGAAAACCTCCTAAGCTGATTATTCGCAACCTCCCGTGGACGATCAAGAATTCCGAACAATTGTCCGCCCTCTTCCGCGCCTACGGCATTGTCAAATACGCCGATCTTCCCCAAAACAAGGGCAAGCTCAAGGGATTCGGTTTCGTCACCCTCAGGGGACGAAAGAATGCCGAGACTGCCCTGAAATCTCTGAATGGAAAGGTCATTGATGGAAGGCCCATTGCCGTTGACTGGGCTGTCGATAAGAGCGAGTGGGAGAAGCAGAACAAGGACGACAAAAACGCTGAGGGGGACGAGAAGCCGAAGACCAAGAAGAAGAATGCTGCGAAGGAGGAAAAGAAGAAGGCACCTAGCTCCAAGAATGACGAAGAACCCAACGACGCGGACGCCGATTTGGAGAATTTCATGAAAACTTTCGGAGCAAACTTGGAGGACGAGCCGGAGAGTGATGACAACAAAGACGATGAAGACAAAGACGAAGAGGACGAAGATGAAGACGAGCTGTTGGACGAAGAGGACTTCAGTGACGAGGAGGAAGAGAAGGACTCCGCTCCCAAAAAGCAGGCATCAACCGGCAACCAATCAACGATATTCATCAGAAATCTTCCCTTTACTGTTACCGACGAGCAGCTCAAGACACATTTCGTCCAATTCGGTCTTGTCAGGTATGCGCGTGTTGTCAAAGACCGGGAGACTGACCGCCCGGCCGGTACCGGATTCGTCTGTTTCGTCAAGGAAGAGGACGCGCGAGCCTGCATCAAGGGCGCGCCGCGTACGCAGACCAGCGCCCTCCCAACTAAACACTCTGTGTTGCAGGACGAGACTGCTGATCAGGACGGTCGGTACACTCTTGAGAGTAGACTACTGCAAGTCGCGCAGGCAGTCAGCAAGGACGACGCCGAGCGCCTGGCTGCCGACGGCAGCGCGAAGAGACGTGAAAAGGACAAGCGTCGTCTCTTCCTGTTGAACGAGGGTCAAATCGATACGAGATCAGCCTTGTACCAGAGACTGACCCCGTCTGAAATCAAGATGAGGGAGCAGAGCGCCAATCAGCGCAAGAAGCTCGTGCAGAGCAATCCTACACTGCACATCAGTCTGACCCGTCTGGCTGTCCGCAACATCCCGCGCGACATTGGTTCCAAGGAGCTCAAGGAGCTGGCCCGCAAGGCCTGTGTCGAGTTTGCTACAGACGTCAAGGAGGGTAAACGCCAGCCCCTGTCCAAGGAAGAAAAGGTCAGGAGTGCAAAGGAAGCCAAGGACGCCGAGCACGAGCGCAAGCTGAAGCGGAAGGGTATCGTCCGCCAAGCCAAGATTGAGTATGAGAGTCGCGAAGGCTCCAAGGTTACAGAGGCTGCGGGCGGCAGAAGTCGTGGGTACGGCTTTATTGAGTACTCATCCCATCGTTGGGCGCTGATGGGTCTGCGCGTTCTCAACGGCTACCAGCTGGAGAACGAGAATGGCAAGAAGCAGCGGCTCATCGTTGAGTTCGCCATTGAGAACGCTTCGGTGGTTGCCAGACGCAAGGCCGCCGAGAAGAACCTGGACCGAAACAGGAAGAACCAAGACGATAAGAAGGAGGGCGGCGAGGCCGAGGCCGCCGAGGCCGAGGGCAAAGAACTACCCAAGATGGCCTCATTGAAGAAGAAGGGCAAAAAGGGAAAGAAGGGCAACATGAATAAGGGCCCCAAGGATGACATCAAGAAGGAGGCTAAGGAGGAGACCCCAGGTGCTGGAAAGAAGTCAGGTGTGGCCCGCGAAGACGTAAAGCCGATGTTGATTGCGAGAAAGCGCCTGATGAGGAAGAAGAAGTCTGACGGCAGAGGAAAGGCGTAAATCTACATGTACGACAAATGTTAATAATGGGTTGTGGGTTGCGACTTCAGCAACAGAGAGTCTCCTATTTTACACCGGAAGTCCAAAAGCTCGATTGTTTGTTACGTTGTCAATTTCGAATTCTTGGTTCTCGTCATTTAGCGGATGACAAAAGTGCTCTTGTCAGTCCTTTACGCGCTGCGAAGAATACGAGGGTATGCATCATCAAGAACAGGAGAGGCAAGATCCATCCCATTTGTGCCAAAAACCCCTGTGCTTATGGGAGTATTAATGCGTGTCTATACACAAGAAGAAATCCAACCAAGTTCCCCAATCCTGATCCCGCACGCCTGAAAACGATAGACAGTGGATGGTATACCATACCCGTATCGACTCTACCAGGAACGCCAATATGCAATGCTTGTAAGTAATGATACCTCCCGAGCCTTGGGCCCTGATGAAAATCCAATAGACACTGAGACGTGTACCCGAAACTCCTTGCCGCACTTCGAATATTTGCTCTTTCATACCTCCTCTTCTGCGTCCGTGTTCGTATCCCTTCTCTTCTTCTTGACCCGGAAGAAATCACCCAAAGTGTCGCTAAGGCTTCGTGGCCTACCAGTCGGGTATTCTCTGGGCACACCTTCGCCTGCTGTTCGAGTACGCTCAGGGGGGCCCCCATCTCCGTGAGACTGGCCTAACAAATCTTGTCTTTCCGACTCATCATTCGCATTTTCGGCGTCATCCGGCATAAAAAGACTTGCCCGAATACTCGATCTTAACCTTCTCACAGATGCCCTACGCATCAAAGGGCTCTCCGTGCTCCTAAGCAGAGTGTCTTTGACGACTGCGCTGACGGTAGACGATAACGGGGATGGTGAGAACAGTGGTCCGGTAAACTGGTGGCTGTGGGGTCTTTGGCTGGGTAGCGATGGGCGAGGAGTGACGGGTCGATCCGTGGGAAACCCGGGCTGCAGTTGCCCATCGTACATCGGCGTAACTGGCTCTGAAGGAGAAAACCCAAGACCTGGGAAAGTGGCGATAGAATCATCTGATATGGTCCGTGTGCCTGGGGGAGGGAGAACCTCTTCAGCAGAATTGCTCCACGGGTTGGTGAGGAGAGGCTCGGACTCTGTATTGACAAGGTTCCCTGCTGACGCGGCGGTCGGGACACGGAGTGAAGGAATACCGGAATCATGCTGCATGCTGAACGGCTTGGAGCCATTCCCTGCGGGAAACCCGACAGAGGTTTTTGAGGAGCGTCGTGATTTCGGTGACGGGATTGAGGTTGATGACGGCTGGGGTGGTTGTGCGGGATCTTGCTCGGCGAGACCGATAGTCTCCTCCACACCATCAACGTCGGACATACCATCTTCAATGTCTTCCTCGACCCTCCCACTAGTAATGAGAACGACACCGGAGAAGGTGAAGAAACAACCACCAACAAACTTGACCGCCTGCTCGGCCGAGGTCCTCTCGAAATCTCGATACAAGACTGCGCTGCCAACAATGACGCAAAGAGTGAACAAGACAAATTGAACGGGGATGACCTGAGTGGAGCTGAATCTCTGTAGAGCCTTGTTGACGTATCGAACCTGCATAACCGCGGTGAACAGGAGAGTAAACAGCAGCGCATAGGTAACAGGGGTCTTGAAAGCCCCAAGAAGGGTCGACGAGAGCATCGAAGATACGCCCTTGGTGGATAGAGCCGTGAAGCCGCCTAGATACGGAGCGCCTTAGTTAGCATTGCGAAGACTGTTGAACGTGACTGAACTACGTACCGAAGAGCCCGACCAGACCAAGGTCAATCAAGATGGTCCGGTGGCCATACCGTGGGCTCGCCCACATGAGAACAATGATCAACGACACTGTTACGGCGAGGTAGATCTCGAACTCCAACGTTGTGATAGCGTCCCAAACATCGTCGGGGTCAAGCTTTGTCTCTTCTTGTTTGGCGCTCAAGACGACAACGACGACGCCGGCGACGGCAATAACGACACCCCAGAAGTCGCGCTGCCTGAACTTTTCCTTGAACAGTATCGGGGCGATTATGCAATTGGAAATCAGCGCAACGACTCCCAGGGGCGACACGATGGAAGCGGGCGCGAAGCCGTACGCCAAGAAGTTGCCCAGCTCGCCCAACGTAATCAGAATTTGGCCCATCCACCAATAGGGCGATTTGAGATATGTAGATGGCGCCTTTTCGTCGTCGCCGGAGTAGTCGGAACCGGTGGACTCCTCGGAGCGGAAGGATCTCGTAAGGGGTTCGGATTCGGAGGCATCGTTGTGGCCGTTTTCTTGATGTCCATCGAGGCGGCTGCGGTCGCTGTCGTTGATGTTCACGGTGCCGTAGACGCCGGGGGGGCGTCCGCTCGCATGTTTCAAGGCTTCTTTTGCTCTCCGACGGACTCGAATGCGCTCTCGATGCAATCTGATGTGGGCGTATCGCTGGACGTTGAGGGCGAGGGCAATAAGGATATTGCCAACAATGGCCGTGATGATGCCGATTAGCGAGGACCAGTTCTGGAGGTCCTTGCCGCCATCGCCGTCGCCGTGGCCCGGTCGTGCCGCAGGGTCGGCGGCGATCACCACAGAGGGTACCATGTCCACCGCGTGAGGGGGATTTGGGAGGAAAGCAGAAGGTGAGTTTGTAGGCGGGTTTCACAAGCTGTTTTTGTCGAGCTGCGATGCGAAAATGGTGTTAGTTAAGCAAGGCTGCGGGTAATGACGACGGCGCCAGAAGATGATTCGCCCGGCATCCAAGCGCGGCGGATAGTGTTGGACTCGGGCAGCTGTCGTATCATCTGGACGGCGAGGAGGCAGCCGCAACGAACGGTAACGAAATGCACCGGAGGAGTCGGCAAGGAACGGATGCAGTCAAGCAAACCTAGGATATGTAGCGCAAATGTTGGATGTAGCCAGCCATGAGGATGTGCGGTAGCAGGACGGAGGTTGCCAGAGGAAAGGAAAATTGAGTTGGAAATGGTCTAAGCAAAGTGGGATTAGCCGTTACGGTAGTTGATGGCCAAAAGGTTGAGGCCGCGTTACCCAGCTTGCGCTTGCTGTGACGGAAGCCGAGCGAGCACAAGTGAAGGAAAGGACCTGACGTTGGTTGTCGTTTGCCCTCGCTGCTGCTGCTGCTGCTCCTCCGCAGGTTTCCCGCTTCCTCTCACACACATAACGCAACATGCACACACGCTGCATTAGACATTGGACTGGGTCCGACACTCGACGCATCGGTCGGCAAGCCAGGACCGACCCGACTCTGACGCGGGTCTGGGCAGCAGGCACGTCCCACATTCAATCACAGGCCCCCGAAGCGAAAGGGCCCTGGGTGCTGTAAAGTGTGGCTCAGCACGTGTGGGGTCTCTACTATACGGCAATATGCTGTCATTTCGTGGCGCCCGAGACCCCAGCCTTCACTTCCATTCCGTCTCACAGCTCCCGCTGAGCTGCTGGCTGAGTGTGGCGTCGGAAGCGACCGGGCCAACGGGTCCGCTGGCATTCTGGCTGAGGCTGGTACGGATACGCCCAATTGGAACGTGGACCTGTCGTCACCGCACGTGCTGGAGGGGCCACTTGGTCAGTGCTCATAGCAGCACAGTGGTGGGTGGACTGGTGTCTGGTAGTGTGGCTCAGTCCCAATGGAAGACCACCCAGGTGCAGGCCGACAGCGACAGGGCCCATTCCCAGTCCCGTCACCCGGCGCATTTATTTTCAGGAGCGGAGAGGGGGTGCTTCCACCAGTGCTGGTGTTCCAGTCTGGCATTCCCAGTGCGGTGCCGTCCAGTCAGTTGCTCGAGAATTCCAGTGTCTTCTCATTGGGCCCGGGCCTGGGCCAGTTCCCATACTCCCGCCGCTCGTGACGGGACTTGTTGGGGATTTTCGGCCCATCTGAAGCTCCGAATCTCAACTGCCATCCCATTGGACTCTCATTCTCACCCCGCCGCCGCAGCTTGCCACTAGGTGAGCTGATCTGACCCGATAGACTCCGTCATATCCATGAGATTTCATGTCTTGTCGTCCCGACCTCAAACAGACCATCAACCCGACTACCCGCTGTTCATGAAAATCTAGACCTCGGTGCTCTTTCGCGTCCGGATCTCTTCCGTGATTGCTTGCACTTATTCAGCTCAGCTGTGTATTCACACACACACACACACACATACACAAACATACACAAACTCACACATACATATCGTCCCTTTTGCGCCCGCGCTCACACGCCCACTCATCAACTGAGACAATACCGACCGCGAAATCCAGATCTCGCCCAAAACAGTCGACGAGCCTCATTTACATCTACATACATGCAAAATGCCCGACAACGATCCCTCCGACAACGTCTTCGTTCGCTTTAAGCAAAAGGTCGATGGTCATATCGCCTTGGCTTTCCGCAGTGTCTTTGGCATCCCGACTTCAGTCACTCAGAATTTCAACAACGGCCGCTGGGCCGAGCCCCCTAGACCCCAAGAAGATGAACGCACGCCGAGCGACGACGGCAACAGCAACGGCAACGACAATGGCAATGGCAACAGCAATGCCAGCGGCAACCCCCAGCCTCGTTCGCCATCCTCCCAATTCCCCCAGCCAACCGTGTTTGAGCTGTTCTCGGCCATGTCGCCCATGCAGGCCCTCTTCAGAGCTGAAGAGTTCACTGAGTCGCTTTACCAGGCCATGTGGATTTCATTTCTCATTGAATCCCCATACTCGCCCCTGGCCCTCCGCGACATGCCGCAGCCCAGACCGAGGGATCTCCCGACGGACGCTGACCCAACTTTGTTTGGCTTCGAGGACGCTTTTGAGGATTTGCTCATGGTGACCAGTGGACAAGGCCTGCCCGACATCCACGAAAGACACCGGGTGAAGAAGGAGTGGAGGGAGCAATTCCCCAGGGGACTTCCTCCCATTCTATGGCTTCACCAGCTGACTCGCCAGGGTCTGTGGGATGGGTGGGCACCTAGACCTGACGTCCTCGAGGGAGCTATCAGCGAGAGGTGGCAGCGCTGGCTGCAGGAACAGGATGATCCTTTCCGTGACTCTCGCTCACTCCCGGCCGCGAGCCAGACCCCTTCAAAGGAACTTGAGCCAAAGGAAGCTGAGAAAACCATGGTGCGGGGTGTGACGGATGGCGCGGGGCGCGAGACACGGAACCGGCTCGGGGAGGAACAGTACAACAGGGAAACGGAAGAAGACTCTTACTTTTCGGTCATGGGAAAGGCTCGGTTCAGCGGGTCGAGGCAGACAGGGACGGGCAAGAGCAGCTCAACGACTAGAGACCTTTCACCACAAGGCCTCCCATCGGGTTGGAAGGTGGTGGAGGAGACTCAGGAACGCGACAACGGAAACGGAAACATCAGCATCAAAAAGACAGTAACGACGTTCAACGAAAAGGGTGAAGAGGTTGGCAGGCAGACCGAGAGGCGGTCCGACTACACCTGGTCGGCGAACTTCTCGACGGGAGGCGGCAATAAGCAGGATCAACGACAACAGAATGATACCGATGACAAGAGTAGTTGGTTTTGGAAATGAAGGCAGAACGGCATCTTCTTCTTTGGGAAAAGGGGGTGGTTTTGGGGGCCTGTAAGTGACTAGTGTAATTTTGAGCAAAATCCGGGCCAAAGAGAATGAGAAGAATTGTAACAGGTCATGCAGTTTTCCTCTTCATTCCCTTTCGGTCCATTACCCCAGCTCCGTGCTCCTACCGGTCCGACTCGCGGTCCTACCAGCACCTGCAGGATGTGACGAGACCAGGCGTCTGCTCTTCAATGTAGCTCGGGAATTCCACCATGAGGCAGACCAATTCACCAGCGTCGGCGACATCTCGTCGTACCTACCTCCTTCATGGGAGTGCAGTAGGAACACTACCTCTGTAAACATACCTCGGACGGCTTGTCTAGATCTCGGGCCAACGCCAACGCCAAGTGGCAGGCCTAAGGTAGCTACATGCTTTTAGCTTCAGCCTCCCGAAGACCGTCTATGCCCCGGCGGGAGGATGATGTGGAAGCCATCTGCAAGCCTCCAACTTTGACGGCCATACTGAGCACTTTATCCGAAGTTCTGAGGTCGTTCTACTGCAGACTTGCTCCATCGCGGCCAGCGCCGCGGTTTCGTTCCTGAAGTTGTGGTGTACGGCCGTCGTCTTGTCACCTACTGGACTGGTCCGACGCCGTCGCTCTCGGGGAACGGAAAAAGTGACGGAGGAAAAGCTTCCCGTGTACTACACCATCCTTGGAGCTTGGCTAAAGCGGCCTTTCTGCTGGACGCGAAACGGCTCTACTCCAGAATGGGCAAGAGCCTAGGGGGCTTGGAGGTGGCGAGCAAGTGCTCTTCTTCTATCGGCATCATTCAGGAGTCTAGCTCGGCTTTACGGTGACGGGGAATGTTGGTACACCTGAAGCCGCGCTTCGATACAGACCACATCGGGGGGCGGTACGCTCTCCGATTTCCTACGAGAGTACAAGACGGTAGCGGAACGTCAACTCGTGCCTGGCGTTGCCTCGACGTGTGGTGACATTGGGCACAACGATAACTTAAAGCTCGCGGACACCGCGTCGCAAGGGCGGCTGGCAAGGAAATACCAAAGAAGGCAAACACGCGACCGGCCAAACAGACACAGCGAGGTGGCGGCTGTCCAAGGTGGCGGTCGATTTTGACTTCGAGACAACAGCTGCCTAGCCTCCACGTTGGAGAAGCGGACTGGCACTAGGTACGTGCCCTACGTGATTCAACAAACTTACGACGGGTTGTCGTCCAAAACGATAGGAGCAAGTCCTCCTCGTCCCCGTCTTCCTCGTCCCAAGAGTGTCTTCTACTTCCAGGGTCAAGGCAAGAAGCGCTCCTAAAGTGAAAGGGGGAAAAGGGGGCCTAGTTTGAGGCAATTCGAGCGAGACAAAGTGGACAAGGAACGTTGAGAATCGTCAACAACGGCGCAGCCAACCCACTGGGACCAGCCAAGGCGCGTAAAGCGGTTGACGGTCCCTGTCCACGAGAACATCCCCGACTGGTGGGTTTAAGGCAAGCTGCATCGTGAAGCAAACACGAGGTGTTCGTACGAAAGCACATTCAATGCCCCCCCCCCCCCCCCCAGTTCGACTGCACTCATATGGTAGTAGCCCGGCTTCTCCCGCGCCAGAAAAAAAATCAATCCTCCGAATGGGGCTGACGATCACCAACAATTTCGCCGAACTTGGACGATCACATAGCAGGGGGGGCACGAGAGCATGAATTCCCACCCGCCTGCTCACTCCAATAGTCTGCGTTTACCCCAGTGACGGACGCCGGCAGTTGCAGCAAGAACGTTGACACGGGCGGGCTCTGCCGGCGCCTCTCGCGCCCCCAACGAACGGCGCGAAGGCACGCTCGTCACGTTCCTATCGTCTGTGAGGCCACGGAGGCGATGGGCGATGATGGGCTGGGTACCAAGAAGCACTCTCCATCGGGACAAATGCCATTCGCCCAGGCGGGCCGGAAGCGCACGGCCGATGGCCGGAGCTGTCAGCAATATGGGTCAGATCTCGTCGCGATATCTAGTCGAGCCTGGGTCGCATGGGAGATGATACTCTAGCCTCTATGCCATGTCAGATATCACGACGAGGACTGCAAGCCACACCCGCCCATCTCCCGTTGCCTGTAACGTACAAGGGAGATGGGCTCACGTCTATCGTTGTCGCCTCCGCCGCTGGCGCGTCTCGTTCGTCGGAACGCCAACGGAAACGGCGCCGTTGCCGTTGGTGGAGTCGGAGCGCCTAGGCTTTCCGAGCACGAAGGCGTTGTGTGTCATGGACGGGACAGCCTCGCCGATAACGAACGGGGACGACGAGAATAGCAGAGTCTGGTTCGACCAGCGTCTGACCTTCATCCCTCCTCTTTTCCATGGTCCCACTGAGAGACTGTCCGACTGACGCGGTGGTGCCCAAGTACTCAGTAAGGCGCTACTGTAGAGTAGGGATCGACGTCCGAGTCTGAGCGCGGCAGAAGTGACTTTGTTTTTGTTCCCCTTCCGTCTTTGTTCACCAACCAAGGTACGTGTTGCTGCCCCTTCAAATCTGTGTGCTGATCACTACCGTCCGAGCGCCGGGAAGCAAACCTTGACAGGCCAAAATGGGGCCACACACGTTACGCGCCAGTCGCGATGGCTGTCGAGAATTTACAAACCGCATCTGGGTTCAGCCCGGCTTGGGCAATGGGCCCGGCACTTGGAGACCGTCTTGGGATGTTTTGGAATCTTGAGGCCGCGCCCCCTGGGGAACTCCCGGGTGACCGCATGGTCATGCCCGGCTCGTTTCGAGTGTCGCCGACCCGGAGACCGGTTGAAGAAGAAGAGCAGACATGGAAGGGCAGAGAAGGGCAGAAGGGAAAAAAGATTGATGTTGGTCCCCGGCGTTGCATCGCTTACACGCCTTGCATGGATTCTTCTCCATCATTTACGCTCTTAAGAAGCCGGTATATCAATGTCCCGTCGCGAAACACGAGAAAAATCGAGTCTCCGCCCTCCGCCGAGGTGATGAAACTCCAGCGCGACGGGAAGGCGGCGGGAATGGGGAACGGGAACGACAGACACTGCGAAGGAAGTGAAGCAACCATAGAAGGCGCGCTATAATAGATCAAGACGTATTGCAGATGCGCTGTATCCCAAAGCTGCGGGCAGAACACCGGGTCAAAGCGACGCCGTGTCTTTTCTGACAGGGAACACCACTAAAGCCGCGATGCTACGTTGCCGCTGGCCTCTTCCTGGAGAGGGCCGCGCTGTCGTCGGTGTCGGTGACGTCTCGCGGTGCCCAACTAGGCAAAATACGTGAAACAGCGGTCCGATTCTGGAAGCAGATCTTGCTGTCAGCCAGCATGGCTGCGGCCTGCTGGTGTGTTGTGTGTGTGTGTGTGTGTGTGTGTGTGTGTGTGTATGTAAGTGTGCACTGGCTCACGACGGTACTGGGCACTAGTTTTACTCATAGTAGTCGGGACGAAGACATCGGGACTGCAGACGGTTCCTGAGCAGCCAACGGCAGCGTCGTTGTCCAGTTGTCGGGATTTTCCTTGCCAGATGCGTTGGCGCAACATGGTTGAAACTCTCGATCAATGTCACCAGGCACCGGTAAGATGCTGGCTGCAATGCCACTTCCCCAGGCCATGTTATAGAGCCAACAATAATATCAACACCATGGGTGTGTGAGGGAGAGGCGGTTTGTCAAGGTTGTGTAATCCAGATGGACGCTGTTGCAGAATGGTTGAGGCGGGAGCTGGTGATGGTGGCGTGATGTCGGCGAGATACGTTGGGGGTCTAGGTCCTTTGAGGAGATTGGGATGGAAAAACGAAGGTCGGGCGTCCAAGCTTCCTGTCAGTTTGACAGCAGACAGGACCGATATCAGAGGACGTCCCAGCCAGCATCACCCTGGATGTACGTAGTTGACTGGGTGTGGCACTTGGCCCACATGTTGTCGTTGTTGTTGGTTGTTGTTGGTGGTGATGTGCTTCCAACGTCCAACTTGCAACAAGCCTGGCTTTTTCTTTTCTTGGACAAGCTCGAGACCGCAGCACCACCGGCGATCAGCAAGAAGAATCGCCCCTTTGCAGTTAGCATCGACATGGCCGCCAAAACAGGCCATCTGGCTTTCTCTTGGGCTCCCATGTGAGTTTCGCGGGACCTTGCAGGCTCGCAGAGCCGATCAGCGCTATTTCGAGAGGCCTGGCTGCACGCAGCTAGCAGTTGGACCGTCACACCGACTTACGAATCTGTCACTCGCCTATGCAAGTCCCACGAGATACTCGACGCCTCGCGGTGGAATTGCCCACAGGGCCATGTATCTCGGCGCATCCTCCGGTCCCAGGAACCTCAGCTGCAAAGACCTGTCCAGTGTCGAGACCGAGACCGCACCACAGACGTTCGATTCCATATCCTGGGAAACATAAGCCATGGGTGTGCTAGGGCGAGTGAGGTTGGCATCATGGACGATCCATACGTCTGTCCAGGCTAGGTAGAAGAGCGACGTCGACCGTTGATTGAAACCCCGGCTAATCTCAACCAACGCAACGCTGTTACTGGCGTCAGTCAATTGATGGTCAATTGATGCCTCCAATTAGGCATGGCGGACAGCGGGTAGAAAAAAAGGCCAGTCGCCCTTCTCCAGGTCTCTAGAGTCCAGGGTAGCCGTGAAGGGGGTGAAAAAAAAAGACAAGTGACTAAATCACCCTTGCAGGCATTTCGTCTTCTGGGAACAGAGCTTGTCAACAAGAATGGCGAAAGGCTGCAGCCGACATGCATTTCGACGAAGTTCCCCAGGATATTCATCCTTCTCCGGTCAAGGTACAATGGGCGAAGCGCATTTTTCCAGATTTCGCGCAACTTGCAGCAACAGATCAGTCCAACACAGGGTTTCTCCGTCCCGGTTGCTGGTTCTCGCTGGGAGACCCCGAGGTGTCTCGGCCTCCCGCATAAGCCGTGGCGGGAACTCTGTAGAGTTTTCTCCCACCCCAAACTGTGTTCACTCTTTCTCTTTCTTTTTTTGCTCGGCCTTTTTCCCTTTCTCTCGGG